TTGCTCTATTTGGAAACTTGGTGAATGAGCAAAGTAAAAAGGTACACACACCAAGGGAGTACCATAATAAGCCTATCCTTGTATCAAGCTTTCTTTATTTTTTCATTGCAGCAAACGTCTTCAACTCTGTGGGTATTGACAAGTTAATCCATGCATTAACCCATTCACCACTTGCCGATAAACGATCAAATAAAAAAACAAATGTAGATGAACTGGTTAAGAAATTTCGTCCAGATGACGTCAGTGCATGACATCAAATTAATTATGTCTAGTCGCAATATCGTATACCCGAATTTGTTGCACTACTATTAGACAGTGAAATATATTATGTTCCTTTTTGTTAGTAATTTAGGTTGTGTCACTTGGCTGAGAGGTTAGAGATACACGATAGTGAGGCCGGAAGGTTTTCCCAAACTGGGGTACGTGATGACTGCACGGGGTCTGCAACTATATGAAAAAAGTCTGATCGTTCTTAAATGATTGATTTCAATCAAAAATGCCGCGTTGGTTAGTCACATTGATACGGCATAGGATAGGAGTCTGTCAAAACTGATATTCACAAATTGGGGTCTGAGGGATAGGGAGCACTACTTATTTAAATGAAAATGCCTTGGTCCGTCTCTGAGTTTAGACTCTTGGTTGTCAAAAATGTAGTAGAGTCCGATCGCAACTCCAGGCTAAAAGAGTCTTCCAAGCAAAACATATTATGACAAAAACAGAATCTTTGTCGTATCCAACCTTGTTTTATTGTCAGTTTAGTAAGCTTAGTCAACTTCGGCGCGGCGGTGTGGCTCATCGTGCTAAGCGTTCGGAATACGCTTGCCACCGCACTTCTGATTACTCTGCTAATCCCATGCAGGGATGGTTATGTGCGAAAGGATTGCTGGACTCCTCGCCGCTGTAGGATGGTTCACGTAACCGCTGGTCGGTTACGGCTTCCTCTACCTCCAAGTCAATGCTTCCGAAAACAAATAACTAACTAATCCCATACCCGACATGGAATGGTAACCGGACAAGAGACCGTGGTTCGCCATATGGTTGAGTCGTCTTATCGGTTTTTCTTACCCCCCGGGATAAATATGTAAATCCTATCCTAACTTAGTGGTTTTGAGTTTGTCAGAAATTTTGATTTTATCATTATCACCATTAAAACCACGGAATTCTGACTGCGAAAAATTCAGTTTTTCGACCCAAAATCTGCCGTGTTTAAAAATGTGACTCATTTGTTCAAGTGTTGGGGAAGCACTCTCCATAAGCCAGATTATTTATTCTTTGTGGAGTAGTGGGTTGGAAACCCCTTTGTTGGAGATAGAGATGATTTTTATGGTATCATTTGCTACTCTTCCGCTTGATTCTCGAGTGAATCATCTGAGCAGGATTGAGCATGATTATTCTTTAACGTCCCTGAACTATGGTTTATCATCAGTTCCCCCTCCCCATGCCTAAACTATAGCTTACAGAAATCAAGATCATGCAACTTGTTTATTTTGTCATAGAAATAAAATAAATATTAACATTTAAGCGTGCGTACAATGAAAAATGAATAGCCTAATTCCGGAGTAGGAGTGGCATTTCGCTGGCTTGCTGTGGGTTCAAGAAAAGAGTCGCGAAATTGTAATCGAATAAACTAAATTTCATTCAAATAATAAGCGATTCTTCTGGTTTTTGAAAATAGTACAAGTTTTTACTATAACATCGAGACAAAAGTGATGCACTTGTTCCTTTTCTAGCACAAATGTATAGCTTCTTCGCTACTTCAATATTTTGGAGTTTGGGTAGATATTTATGGTAAAGCAAGTGGGGAAAGTAACCGAATGAATTGGGGTTTATGCTATGTCATCAATAAGAATGAGTATAATGATATTTTGACATATTATAAAGTAAGCATATAAAGTGGGATTTATATAAAGGGGACAACATTTTTCAAGTTTTCTATTTCGTATATATAATGAAACTCAATCGAAGGACAATATTCTGCATTACTGACAGTTGGGTGACCCGGTTAGAGAGACAAGGAATCTAATTTGTTGAATCATTTTAACTGAATGATGGGGGCAATATTTTCAAATATACATATTTGTTACACAATTTGAATAGAAAAGATAAATATAAGGTTGAACAAGTTACCCCAGTTAATATTAAAAGCAATCTAAACAGTTCGTAAGAAAACAATCTCTCACAGAAATTCAGAACATTTCAAATATTATAATTATATAGATTTTTATATATTAAATGACTTTGCCTAGGAGTATAGAAATGAAATTGATTGAACAATTGTACGGAATACCTCTGAAACATTCAAAAAATATGGAATTTGAACATCAATAACTATTTGAAAAGCTTGAATCAATGAGTGTTATTAGGACATGTTACTTACTTTTAATTTTATTCAAAATTTGACATAAAAACAAAGTGAGTTTCTCAAGAATTAGAATTTAATGAGACATAAATTCAGTGTTCTACAATATTTACATAAATGCGTTCATACAATGAAAAATAAATAGCTTAATTGTTGAGAAGTAGTGGCATTTTACGAATTGACTAAAATGATTGAAAGCATTTTAGAAAACATTTCGTCAAATATTACGAAAATAAAAGTGATTCTTCAGGTTGTTAGAAAGAGTACAAGCTTTTGTTTCAACAACGAGACAAAAGTGATTCACTTGTCCCCATTTAAGCACACATGTACTGCTTCTTTGCTCCATTAATATTTTGGAGTTTGGGTAGATTTATTGGTAAAGCTTTGGTAAAAGTAACCAAGTGAATCGGGGTTCATTCTATGTCCTCGGTAAGGATGAGTATGATAATATTTAGACATACCATGTAGTAAGCATATAAAGTGAGATTCATATTAGTAAGATTTTTCAAGGTGCCCATTTTGTATATATATATATATATTAAAACTCAATCGCAAGACATCACTCTGCAGTACTGACAGTTGCGTTAATCCACATGGCCCGGCTAGAGAGACAAAGAATCTAATTTGTTGACGCATTTCAACTTAAGAATGAGGAGCAATATTTGCAAATATACATATTTGTTACACAATGTGAATAGAAGCAATAAATACAAGGTTGAACAATCTACCCCAGATTATATTACAAGCAATAAAACAGTTTGAAAAAAAAGCAATCTTTCACAGAAATTCAAAACATATCAAATATCATGGGCATATAGATTTTTATATATTAGAAAGTATTGCATAGGGGTATATACAGAAATGCATACCTCTAAAACATACAAAAAAAATGATGTCATTTGATCATCAATGGCTATTTGGAAGGCTTCAATCAATGAGTGTTACTAGGGCGTGCTAATTACTTACAATTTTGTTCGACATTTGACATCAAAACAAAGTAAGATTCTCAAAAATAAAAGTTCAATTGGAAATAAGTTCAGGGTTTTACAATATTAACATACTAGCCTTCATACAATGAAAAATAAATAGCCCGATTCTGGAGTAGGAGTGGCATTTTGTTGGCTTGCTGTGAGTTCAAGCCAAAAGTCGCGAAGCTGTAAACGAATAGACTAGAATGATTGAAAGCATTTCAGAAGAATATTTCGTAAAAAAGCGATTGAGACAAAAGTGATTCACTTGTCCCCATTTTAGCACACATGTACTGCTTCTTTGCCCCATATATATTTTGAAGTTTGGGTAGATATTTATAGTAAAGCAATTGGTTAAAGTGACCAAATCAGTTGGGGTTCACGCTATGTCCTTGGTAAGAAGGAGTATAATAATATTTTGACAGACATTGGAGTAAGCAAATGAGGTGAAATTGATACAAGTGGGACAACATTTTTCTAAGTGCCCCACTTCGTATTTGTGATGATATCCAATCGCGGTCCTTTACTCTGTAGTACTGACAGTGGGGTTAATTCCACATTGCCCAATTAGAGAGACAAAGAATTTAAGTTGTTGACTCATTTTAACTGAACACTGGGGGGTTAATCTTTGCAAATATGCATATTTGTTAAACAATGTGAATAAAAACGATAAATACAAAGTTTATAAAAAATTTTGAACAAATTTTCCTGGAATATATTACAAACAATAAAACAACACAGTTGGAAAAGAATGCAATCTCTAACAGAAAGATATGATAAATTATATAAAATTTTTATATTTATATTAGATTGCATTGTATAGGAATGTATACATAAATGCAGTTGCTTCAATGCTAGTAGGACGTGTTAATAACTTTAAATTTTGTTTAAATTTAATTTGAAAAAAACAAAGTAAGTTTCTGAAAAAAGTTCAGTGTTGTACACTAAATATCATAGAAGCAGGATAACAGTAGGAATGTGGGTAGGTAAGGGTACAGAGTAATCCAACATTGCTTTTAATTATTAAGAAAAATAAATAGAAATAGTAAATGGTTATTAAACAAAACATGATCTTGGAAGGGGCGGTTAGAAGGTTATTCGAGTTGGTGCCATGATGATGGAGAAAACACTATCATATATATATATATATATATAATATATTAATTCATATTTATTCCTACTAATTAATTTTAATATTAATTATTATTTATTGGAAGTATTCATTTTTTATGTGTGCATCATGGGATAGAAAGTTAGGAAAACACGGTCTGAGCATCGATTAAAACTTTGCATAGTATATACTGTGCAAAATCAGTTAAACTAGAGCAGTTTCTCACTGCGATGTGTTGAAAGTCATCCTCCAGATCTACGATTTGTCCTTTCGGGACAATATCAAGCGTATATAAACTAATGATTCCGAAAATAAATCAAATACTTTAAGACCTATTGGATTAATAGGTCCTATAGGATTAACATCACACATTTTCTCATCTAAGTAGAGAAGGAGAAGCAAAATAACTTAATTTATACGATGCATCAAAAAGTTGCATAAAATTTTGACAATGCATAGTCTAGTTATATTTTTAACAGTGGCAAGTAAACAAAGGCATAGCATAAGATTTACAGTCAGACGTGAATTTAAAAATCTAATGTTAAGAAAAGGCAGTGGTTAGTTTACTAACGCTACATAGCGCAGTTATTTACAACAAAACAATAATAAAAATCTGTTAAATGGCATTATGCATTTTGTCTGTTTTTAGTAGCTACAAACACAATATTTTTAGAAGATGAACACTCGTTGCTTTGGAATACTTGGCATAATGTGATGTTGGAGTTACATCGTGACTGTTTTGTAAAGTTTTTCATAGCCTTTCATTGGAATTTTTTTACACTAGTGATTACATGTCGTCCTTTTTACACAATGCGGTGTTTAGTAGTTTGAATAAAGATCGAATGATCTTAGATATTCGATGATTGCTTGATAGCAGAACTTGTATTGATTCTGAAATAAAATAATTTAACAAATTTATTATACTGTTTTTATTTAACGCTGCCTTTCCCCTATCCTTAAAAATGTTAGAACGATGTTCAAATGCATTTAGGAAACTGGTTTCCAAACACACTACTTATCATCAAATTTTGAAATTTGTTTTCTGATGCAACATTGTGATCAAAGTTTATAGTTTGGGCGCATATTTTAAATGCAAGTGGGTACGATATTGACTTGGAAGAAATATAGTATATTTGTATCTACCGAGAGAGCAATTTTACCTCACTTAACTAACAACATCGCGTTATTGTTTAATTTTTATTCAAAATTCTTTTATTTTATTATGCTTACCAAATTTTCAACCATATTTGGTCTTCCATCTCTGAGATCTTTCACGGTTCTGAAAACATCAACTCGATTCTCACATTTCAATCGATCTATCAGATTCACTGTTGCACAGAATACCCCAGTTCTACCGATACCATCACTGAAAAATAGAACGATGTTTAAATAACTCAAGAAAACTGATAATTGTGAAGATAGTTTTATCAATATGTCAGAGCTGTGAAGTTTGAGAAAATTCACAAATGACTTCGACTCCGGGCTGACTTTTGAAAAAGGGAAAAAAAATTGAATGAAAGGGAAAAGAAATTGAATGAAATTTGATAAAAAAGCTTTGACAACATTTGATAGACTGTTGATTTTTAGAAAGTCTGCGATTCCGACGCCGGAGACATTTGAATGGTACCAAATAGGACTCCCGCTCCATAAATCTGCATGGCAGAGAGGAATTCAAAAATGTGCTTATGTATTTAGTTTACCTGCAATGTATGAGGATGACTCCATTTCCAGTGGATCTAAAATTTTTCTGCATTTTACTAACAAGGTCGATTATCCCTCTTGCCTCTTCAGGGCAACTTGTTGATTTCCATCCGGTGTAATGAAATTGAGTCACAGATCTCTGAAAATAAAGAAAGTATGACGCTTCGACCGTATATAAATATATATATATATATATATATATAATTAAAGAAAGAATATAGTGAGATATAGATAGAGAGAGGGAGAGAATCTGCTCATACCGATTGTATTCCCCGATCTATCTTCAATTTTCTTGTTACAGCAATCGCGTCAGTTTCTTCTGCGGCGAGAGTTACTTTGATGTTTTGCAGTTTTAATTCTTCTCCAGCACTTGACGGCCAGTACTGAGCGCATTGTTCCTAAAATAACGATTTAAGTGATAGAACTAATGAAATACTTACTTACAGAATATAGAATACCATCGTTTATTGAAAATTTATTCACTAGAAAATATGACTGAGGACAACCAATATTATTTCTAATTTTAATGCAGAATTTTTGAAATTGCCGTTTATTTAGTTGTCGAATTTGCCGTTTTTGAGGAAAAATCAGCTGTGGCCGTTTTTTCAAAATTTATATCTTGAGATTGAATTGTTATTTTTTGAACAAATTAAAAAAAAACAGAAAGTCTTGGAATTTTTAGACTATTGAAAGCAAATCCATACCTCATGCCCTTCATTCAGTTCCGTCAACATAACGATCGTATTCACATTGTTATCTAGAACCGATCTCCAGAATAAATCAATGTTTGATGAAGTTGGACCTTGAGATGCGATCATTGGACTTGATTCATCATAACTCTACATTAGACGAAATAAGCATAACAATTTTGCAATATAGTGATTAGTGATGAGAATTAAAACCAGTCATTTACATTTATAAAATTACTGGTTGATATCAATACAATTTCGGTTTATATGGCAAAAAATTGCTTTCACAAAATTTCTAGAGAAGATTAAAATTCCAATTCTATTATATCATATGAATAAATCAAGAAGAAATGCTTTGAATTTTGTCAGATGGCTGCCGTGGTCAGTGCAACTTTATATTAAATGATTTGTAAGCAGAAATGAAAGTCTTCTGAAGACTTTCATCATCTTCAAGTTCATAAAATTTCAACTTGATTGCTTTGTTATTTTCGGAGAAAATTTTATTTTTCACTCTCACGACAAGCCCATTATAAACTTCAAAAGAAATGCAGCAAAATAATCCATGGACCCATTTTGTGTTCAAATATTTCACTGAGTACTTACCTCAACCCAGGAAGCATTCACAAATGGCACTTTCGTTTCGCCAGCTTCCATTGCAAGTTTTGCAAGAGAGTAGTCATCTGTAAAACATTACAATTTCTATAAATAAACCGTCATTTTTTTCTGTTTGACAATATTCTATGAAATTCATCATTTTCCACCTGTTTATCGTCATAATAGTGGTGACAGAAACCTATTTATTTTTTTAGCTAGTTCATTAATCTTGCGTCACAAAAGCAAAGACATCATTTTTTGATGGTAGCCTATTTCAGTAATTGCGGGTAGCTTTGCTTTTGAGTGAGTTTTCCTCATTTACACGGTCTTTGGTTAAGCGTGCCTTGATGAAATCTTTACAATTTATATAAAGTAGCTAAAACAATGTTTTTAATAAAATTGAGAAAGTTTCATTAAATGAATCTACATCTTTTGCAATATGAACCTAACTTTTAATTCAGAAACAAGATCCAATTTCTAGCACAATTCCTAATTCACGACATTGCCAACCTTACAAAATTGATTTCTAGCGACCTGAATTCATAAGTCACGATAGCCGACAAATTCGACAATGTCAGAATTGCTGTTAACTTTGCCAATCCCCTTCATTCCCATTGAGCACATTCATAAAAATCACATTACAGTTGTTTCTACAGACTAAATGACTGAGGTGTCTGTGCCGAAATTTCAGCACACCACGACTGAAAACTAATACAAACGGGGAAGCTGTAACACACTTAAAAATGAAACGAAACTTAGAAGATTAGAATATATCTTATTTTAATAACTTACACGGAACTACATTCATCGATCGGTTGGTTTTCGTATGCTCGTTCCCAGTCAGTTTTGAATCTTTCATCGGATATATTCTGCTGAGATCATCAAATTCTTTTCTCAAACTTGATTGAGCGTTGCCAGAACTTCAAACCAAATAATATGATAAAATAAATTATAATATTCAGTTAGTATGAAGAAATTGAGATCCTATTTATTCATTTTTATTATTAGTGGACACAAAATGGACCTATGGATTGTTTTGCTATTATGTTGTTGTTGTTTTTGTTGATATTTTTCTTTTACTTGATATGAAAACTCGCTTTTTATTGATAAGGGAATGTCTCTTATTGAAAATTTGAAATTTTGAATTTATGTCCAGGACAGTTCTACATTAATAATCCGCTGCAGTCTGTGAAAGTTATTTTATTCGTCACCCATGAAATAGATTTTTTGAAATTTTGTGCTTTCGATTATCTCAGAAGATTATATTTTGAATAGAATCGATACTTTGTATCTTATTCATAAGAAGCATATTCAACATAAAATGCAAAAATGTTATTAAGAGCAATTCTGAAACAATACAATAAAATGCAAATACTATCACACAATGTTTTCGTGCAAATTCGGTGGCTTTTTCATATCTCAACAAAAGAGATGAATATTTTCAACAAAAGCATAATACATTTTAAATTGAGGTATATATGTATATCTTACTCAGATGGTGCGTATTCAATAGAAAATGCAAAATTTTATTGGAAGCAATTCTGAAACAATACATAAAATGCAAAAACTATCACGCAATGATTTCATGTAAATTTGGTAGCATTTTTATATCTTAACAAAATAGATGAATGAATATGTTCAAAAAAACTGTAACGAACGGATTTTGAATATAGCACAGTCAGCGTAATGTTATATTTAGACATATTTGCATAGGGCGATGCAAATCTTTGGCTTCTTGTTGAATTGTAGTTGCTGCCTATATTGTTTTGTAATACATGAATATAGAATTTACCTTTTCATCATTTCTAACTTATTCTTTGCTTCATCAGTAGATAAGTCTTTGTCACCAAACAGACTTGTCTCCAACATAAGTTTGTGAAGAATGATATATTGATCCTGAAATAAACAATCGAATAATATAAATATAATGTTAAACGAATTCTAATTAGTAATATGAAATACAAAAGACAGCTCAACACTCGAGTCCATTACTTTCGAACAATAGCAACAAAACATTCCATATGAACACTTCTTGTCCTACATTAAATTAATTCCGACAGATTGATCGATTGATCTTCGGCAATTTGATAGCAACAACAACCCCAAACAACCAAATACAACGATAACTATTAATAACAACAATAACAATTGAACGAAACAAACAGGTCCATTTCGTGTATGAAAATAGTAGTCCTAAGTTTAGTTGGAAAATCATAGTAAATGTTAATAGAGTATTATATAAACATTACAGCTCTCTCCACTAAAAAGGTGGTAATTCGGAACATATTATAAAAAGAAATTCCGTGCAAAGCACAACTTTCGAGTACAATCATTTTTCGAGTATTTTTGAAATTTACGAGCTTTGTTTTTTTTTGGTCACCCTGTAGATCTATTTTTTTGCCGAAATGTAGTCCAAGCCTAAAATTTATTCAGGTTTGAATATGGTTTGAACGAAAACTAATATTGTAGCAAATTGATTGCATATTATTACGTTTATTTTAGATTTCATTTACTAACTTACAGCGGTCTGCACCATTTCCACTCTTTGCTTTCTCATGTTGAGGACGCAAGAGAACACGTCAACTGATCGCTTGGAAGTACTTTCCTCGAGTAGAATGTCGTATCCAATAAAGGTTCCAGTTCTTCCAGCTCCAGCACTTAAATATAAAAGTATTACAATATATGCAACAAAATCACGCATTGCTGCATGAACGGGATATCACAGAGTTTGATGAAAAGATCAATTGGTCGATTTTATGAGAAAATTTACTTTCCTCAACAAGAACAAGAACAACAGCAACACCAACAACAGCAACCTCAAGAATAACAACAACCCTAACAACAACAGCGACGACAACACCAACTTATCAGAAGGAACAATATGAACGAACTGGATCGCCTTGTCTCCAATAGAGATAAGATAGGATTTCTCAAATTCATGGAGAGCAAGGAAGACCACGCCTTTAATGCCAGTCTAGATCGGGTTCATAAGAATCAACGAGATAATTATATATTTTAATAACAGATGTAAGATGATTAAAGTGAACAATTGTATTGTCTTGACTACATTTAAATTTCATAAGGAAAGGAAATAAGTCGTCATCATTATAATGCCGCAAAATCGCATTTAAAAAAAATTTTCGTTGTGAATTTCATGAATACCCCTAAGCCACTTCTTCTCACCGAATTGTTTGGGTCTGGATTTACCTCGATAGTCAGAAGCCATGATTGTTACAAAACCGAATGGATAGGTAATATGTCGCGCATTAAGCAGCTTTCATGGAATTCTGTTCCAATGAAGCATAAAAACCAGACTAAAATAGAGCCATTGTTAGTACTTCCTTGTATGATAAATGTCACCCCTAACGCGGCAAGTCAATCTATTACAAAAGTGGGTAAGTGTAAGTCTCACTTCAGATACGAAGGGGCAATCTGAACCGCTTTTTTCAATTGTTGTTATTGTTGCTAGTTTGTTGTTGGTGTTGGAACGACTTTTGGTAAAAAAAAATGCTTTTTTCCGTAACTAATGGACCAATCAATTTCTCATTTTTAGCACCTTAAGATGGAAGTAGTTAGCAGAACACTTATTACTTTCCTTTTTTTTTATGAGAGTCTTATTGATTTTCAAATCGAAGATATTTTATTTAACACTCGCATTCGCTCTTCATTGCTGTATTATGTCCACCAGGAGAATAATGAAAGCATATTCAAAGTTTGTTCAAATTGTCTGGCGCAAAATGTTCTAATTGGTAAAAGCGCCATATATTTTCATACTGCACACACGTAAGGAGACATAGGGTGTCCCAAAGATAATGAAACTCACACAATCAGTAATCGAATCACTGGGTTTTAGTTCGTTTTTTTGCCCTTTTAACTATTCAACTATGTAAAGAGGTTCACCTGCAGTGTACAACGATGGGAGAATCATTTTCCAGATCTTGACAACTTTTTAAGACCGCTTGATGCATTCTGAGCAAGTTCGATGTTGTCTGAGGAGCCCCATGATCAGGCCATTTAAGGAATTGATATTGGTAAACGGTCAAGCTTTTGTTATCCTGGAAGATATAATAAATAAAAATTTTACCCTCTTTTTCATTGCTACCGAGAGAACACAAATTTTTTGTTTGGTATATTTTGTTTGAAATATAGTAGTAGTGAAGTACCGTTCGACAGACTGAAATTTTTTTAAAGCTTCAATGACACTACTTTTATTAGGCGAGGGACTGCAATCACAAATCAAATGTATTTATATATTGAGGACATGATTCAATAGAGACGAATTTACCCCAGTTCGAATTAACAATGACAAAAACTAAATAATGTTGATTCCCACAAAATTCGAGATTGGTAATTTGGAATATTGATTTAGTTCAATATAAATTGGGGTAAATTTAAAGTTCTCCTCCAATGTTTTTTGAATACGCAGCCAAGACACAAGCACTTAATTAAAAGCATAGTCGACATATATAATTCTAAGATTACCTACTGGAGTGACTAAGATGAGAAAAGTAAAACAGAAAAAAACAATTTGAAATGTATACTGGGTGTGATGTTCGCCAATTATATAAATGTGTGATTAATGATTTGTTTTGTTATTCTCTATTCAATGATTTTGTTTTTAATACTATATGTTATAAGTGGTCCAGACTCCAGCATCTGTAAATCTATAATGTCTATAAAATCTATAATGTATAGCAGCGGATGTCAATCGGAAGCGGAATGCGGGAGCCTTACATAGATCCTTCCTAATTTCATTAGGGATAAGAATATTTTACAGGGTTTAAAGGGGGCACGCGACCCATAAAAGGTAGGGAACAAGAGGTGTATAGAATTGAATTATTGCCTAAAGCGCAATCGACCGTGTACATGGTACTATTCCACTTTTGTTATTCTTTACCTGCTTGGATGTCACAACGAGGACTCTTCTCATGAAAGCGCTGTAATTGACTTCTTGTGCATTTTCAATCACTATATCTCCAAACGCAAGATTTTTCCCCGCGTCAGGCCAGTACTTTTGGCATTTTTTCTAAAAAAAATTTGCTTTTGCATATTAAATGACCATGGAATTTTAATCAATGGTTACCAACGGTTTCCCGAACGTCAGAGCAAAAAATAGAATATGCAGCGTATGTTCATTGTTTCGTGTGCACCAAATATTTCAATGTAACTTTGAGTTCTTTTCGATTCAATCACGTCAGATCATTTGTTTTTAATTCTACATATATATCTTTTTGCAGATTTGCAATTTGTGTGGTAGTCAACGATTATCTCCAAAAATCAAATGCCAGAAAGCATTGATCAAATATATGTGCACACAGTCAAAACGAAGAAGTATACCGGTATTCTGACTGCCGGTTTGAAAATGCGATCGAATCGCCACACGTTGCGCAATTTTTCATCTCGATGACTAAAGAAAATTTCAAAGCAATTAGTCCAGTAATAAAAGAGAACAACAACAACAACAACAACAACAACAAGAACAACAACAACAACAATTTAATAAACCGATAAATAAGTTCACTTCGTGTCCAACAAGAGTTGAAGTCTGTCCGTCATGCAATTTTGATTGAATTGTGATGTACATGAATTTTTTTACAACTCACTTTTCCTGCTTCGATTTCTTTTGCCAACATAACGATTACTTTGCTTTTTTGCTCTAATACCATCTGCCAAAAGTCACCAACGGTATCGGACAGAGGCCCCTGTGTTGCAATGTACTTGTGTCGTACGTTGTGGCCCTGTGAAAGGATAGAAGGTTGTTGTAACACGATGAAGTTGATTAAATTGTGATCCAGCGTGTGGAATTTTACACATTTCATAGAATTTAACGTTAATTTAAATTTTGATGACATTTCTCATTGCTATTATTCACAACCACCTAAAAAGCAAGACATAATCAATTTTTATATATAAATAAACTAATTATGTTTTAATGAGGTACAAAAAAGTAACCACGGGACGGATTTTAGGACCACACTTTAGTACCACTTCAAGTTAATCACTTAATTTTTTAAGAACAAAGCCAAATATACGACGGATGCTTCTACCCAAAAAAGCGAATATGCTAAAAATAGGGTTTCAAATTTCCTATAGAATAGAGAGAATTTTGCAAAATCTCTATATTAATGTATTTTACATTGGATATATCTTAGTAGCGTTTTAAAGACGAAGCTTCAAAAAAAAGTTATGGACTAGGTTTCACAAAAAATACTAAAATAATCAGACCGACAGAGAAAACTTACATTTATGAAACAGGCGTTGATGTAGCCAGACTTTGCCTCGGTTAAAGGAACTCGGGTATCATCGACTAAACAGAGAATGGAGAAAAATTATTCAGACATTGCATTATTCATTTTTTTGACATCGTGATGATCTTTTTGCCGGAAACTCCTTTGTGTGGGCCAACTAACAGACGCAAAAGGAATCGAAGTGAATAGGATTTTTGGTTGGAGTGAGAAAAAAAGATTGAAAAACCTTCTGAGAGTAAGAATATAAAATGTTTTTGATGTCGAAAATACCACGTCGACAAGTCGTAAAAACGTTTGACAAAGACAATAGGCGGACCTAGTCAATTTAGCCAAACGGCATACTTATGCTACCGCATCCGCCATCATAAGACTCTCTATTGTGTCAATAGTAATGACTGAGGAACATTTTTCAACAAACTAACGTATGCAGATAAATACTTTTAATCAGTGGTTTCTAAACTTTTAAGGCTCATGGCCTCCTTCCGGAAGCTTTAAGCACTCGTGGTCCCAGTGTTTTTCTTTCCCGTGGTATTTATAGTGTTATTTTGATTGTTAGTTTCTAAATTCCATTATGTTTAAACAATTCAACACCCTGAGAAGTAACCTTATCAAGCAATGGATCTAGGAAGGACGGGGAGTCTTATTATAAAAGGAAAAGTATTGTGGCCCATCACCAACTGCTCTGTGGCCCCCTTGGTAATCAACGGACCCCAGGTTTGGAACCGCTACTTTAGATGAAATGTGGCGATTATAGCATTGGTTGTCAAATCAAAATGGTAAAGTCCGATAGAAAAATACTATCGGATTAATAAAAGTCGGTTTCAAGTTTTCTGGCTTGTTGAAAGCGCCATTTTCTTTCATACATCAAACACATTCCACGAAACAGGGAAGTTACGTGCATACTCATTGAATATGCTTTTAAAATATCGTTGAACTTATTGAAAGAGAATCAATAACAAATGAAAAATTTTGTGAATAGTCGAATCGTTGCGTATAAAGTATACAGACTGTACAGTATAATGTATAGAACTCACTAATAACAGGTCCTCTCATTGCAAAAACATATCTAGCCTATGTCATGACGTAAGGTGCATTTGGACAAATACAATACCTAACTTTCGAAGTACAGAATATAACGCGAGTCGTCATTTGAGCTGTACGTAACTCTTTTCTTGGATGATATAATAACAAAAACGGGTTCGCTGATATCACGAGATTCCGAAACGCGTTCGCGAGAACCCGTGCGAATCCCCTGAATCCCACCACGGCATTAACTCTTAGTTAGATGATGACTTTGTCGTAATGGAGATTGAATCGTTTAATTTTACATAAGATGTAACAATGTAGATGAAAGTAAATGCACCTACATGGCAATATATTTTTATATCGATTTTTCTTCTTCAAAGCCTCGTTCGACGCAAACTTTTTTGTTCCGCCATATTTTGCGGCCTCCTGAAGAATTTTCTACAAACAAATTTTAAAATAGATAATTATAGTCATAGTCAATTTGTTTTTCCATCCAGAAGAAAAATTGCAAGCAAAATTGAAAAAAATCACGAACACAAAATTTACTGGGAAAGAGGAACCAAAATTGGTTATCAAGCAGAGAAACTCTAAATGGAGTGCTTATGAGGTGGCGCCGTTGCTAAAAAATGAAAAGTAAAAGTGTGACTTAATACCAATTTGTGACGCCATATTAAAACAAAAAAGAGAGAAAATGTAAAAGACGTGCGAGGCGACGCTGTCTGAAGCATTCATTAGAGTTAAAACACAAATTATTGCGCGAATATATTATCAAATATTTGTTACAAGCTATGGTTGTTATGAACGTTATAGGACGTTAGAAACGCTATAGGACGCGCTCAGAACGAATTTTTATTCATATTTAAGAAAGTAGTTTTTTACATATGTCATCCATTTTTGAATCCATCCACGTCGATGAAGTGTCTCAGAAATTTATTTATTTTGATCCATATTCGGATATCAGAACCATTGATAAATTGCTAACTTTCTCCGGAAAAATCACTAAAATTACAACTATTATTTATCGTTTATTTACCTGAAATTGTTCCAAAAACAGTCTGTTTTCTCTGGCCCTCATAGAGTTGTAAACGTTTTCCAAGTCAGAGACAGAAATTGATGTTTCTGATTTTTTTTCAGCTTTTTTCACATAGTTCACATAAGCGTCTTGTCCTGAATATAAGGTAAAGACTGAGTTAACCCATCTGATTTGAGTGCAGACTCCGGAGTCCGGGTTGTAAAAAAATTTGACTTCGACTCCAGCTTACAAACTCCAAAAAATCAAAGATTAAACGCAAAAATCTTGGCATATGCAAGCCTTCAATAAATATACTGTAGAAGCGTATTCTAAACTTAATTCATTTTGAGTTTCTTTAGAACAGTTTGACTTATTTCTATTTAGAAAGTCAAAAATTCTGACTACAACTCTGGGGAATTTGAACTCTTGACACCGACTCAGGGGGATTTTAAAAGTAAAGCCCAAAACGGCGTTACAATTACAAGGTAGGGTAGCAATTAATTCAACTGTCAGCCTACTTTTGTGTCAACTTGTATTAATTGGTATTAACCATATTTACATATTTACCAAATTTACAATTAATGCAAAGTCAGACTACACCAAACAAACTCATAAAAACATAACGTTTAAAGCATATCATTGTGGTGCGTAATGGCGTCGCATCTTCGGGGACAACATGAGAGAATTCATTACAAAACGAGAGAATTGAGTAAAAAAAAAACGGTATAGAATGTGTAAAAACACGGTATGACTTCGCTATTGGAGACAGCATACATATGGACTGCTTTCCTAAATTGTTGTTGTTGTTTTCGCTGTAACTGAAAAAGATTTTCGCATAAACTAATTCACCAAATGAGTACAAATGTTTGAAGATGGTAGAAGCCTATAGATGGCTATTACATATATTTTGATTTTCAAATTTCCATGAAACCCGATATTTTTTTTAGCATTGCTCTCTTTTTTAGACACTATGCAATTAAATCTTTTAACATGAAAGTTACAATACCTTCTACTATATGTACTTCTTTAGAAATTGGTCTTCGTGGCTGTACAGGAGGCGGGGCTCTTGGGGAATTGTTGTTGGCATGAGGAGCACTGTGCATAAAATAAACGAGATATCTTTATGGAGGAAGTTTCTTTCAATTAAAAAAAAATTTCGGATTTTTACTTGATAAAAAGGGCAGCTACAATTTTCCTAACTTTCGCAACCAACACTTTGTATCCTGGTAGAATTATAGTATGGGTAAACAGTAAGTGGTCTTCGATAGTAATTATACTTTTATAAACCAATTATGGGCAACATTGTATGTAGAATTCGCATTGAACCCTAAACGAGTTTTACTATAACCAATGTTATTTTTAGATTAAAACCATCGTTTCACGAACTGATCTCTCTGCCTTCTAGTCGGCCCTCACTGAGTGATTCTCTGAGGTTCACATGAATAGGGCTTCACTAGGTAACAATTGACAATGACTATGAATTGTTGATGTTATCAACTCGTTTTACTACACCCTGTGACGATACTTACACATTCGGTGTCGGTGGAATAGGATTTTCAAGTTCCGACGGCTGAACTTCGATTTTCGTTGTTTCGTTGTTTTTTCTGAATGAATGAATCATTAAATCATTATTATTGAATTTTCATGAATTACCCTAATTTAAACTAAATTACTCTGTTAAATACTCGGGACAGCGAGAAATTCGTTGCTCACGTCACACTATATCTTATGCATTTCTTGGTGCTTTTTCCTGAACAATGAATCTCGTTATGTTAGTAGGCCAGAAGTCACTTGGAACTCTGCTTAAATGTATTTTTTGCTTCGAATATGAATTCCATAGTTTGTATTTGGATGAGACTACTTTAAAGTAACTTTTCAAGCGATCTCGAGTCACGAGGGCCTAAATTTTAAGTGTAATCGACCACAACAACATCTGTCACATTAAGATCAAAACGTACCGACAAGCCATGTCAGCTTTGAGTCAAACCAATTCAAGTTTTGTGTTACGTATTTTGCATTTTGCTTAAGACAAAGATCTTTTAGTTAAGACAACGTAAGCCAAATGGCTGTCAATGGAAAAAGTAGAAGGTAATTGTTACATTTTCTGGTGCGCAAGAGCGCGTGGGAAGGTGGAAAAGATTGAACCGAAGACTCTGGTAATGTCAAATATAGTTGAAACATTATGAGCTTGTTTATGTAATTTAGTATAATAGCCTCACCTTTTTTTCACTATTACGACAATAATTATAATTCCAACTATAAGAATAAGCACGACCACGCCAATGATAGCAAATATCCAGCCAGGCGTTCCGCCGTTTTCACCCTCTGTACAAATGAAAACATCTTGATCAAAACACTCATCTTCTTTTTACTAATATTGAATAATCTCATTCAGACCTATTCAGCAGTAGAAAAATGTTTGCCCTTACATGTACTCTACGTGAGTTTGCAGTTTTGACATTCGTAGGGCAGTGTTCGTTAGTTCCTAAACACCGAGTCACGAGTCAAGTTCAGTCACAGCCCATTCAATTGTTGAGTCAATTCAATCACTGAGTTAAGTCTAACGGTTACTAGAGTAGGATTCCGACTCACTTCATTTTGATAACTCAAATCATTTCGAGAGTAAGGAGATTCTAAACCCCGAGTCACGAGTCAATTTTTTTCTCACGGCTCATCCCGAGTCGAGTTCGTAGTCAAGTCAATTACGGATTTGAATCTCACTAGCGGTTAGTAAACTACGATTCATTTAATTTAGAAGACTCGAATCATTTATATTTTTACCAACACTGCGGTGATCTATGTCCATTTGTGGATAGGTTACTAGACTAGGGCTACCAACCGAATTGACGTCTGGCGTCTCGTGTCCCGGGCTGGGCCACGGTTGTCCCGGAATTTATTGAACCTGTTCCGTTTTCACCATTCGTTTCTATTTTAGTTACCCATTCCAAAATAATATTTGAGCTTCGAGAAAAATATACATCATCACCAGATGGTGTTGAAGTCACAACTGAAACTCTAGAAAAAAATTGGAATTTTTATTCAAAGTGTTAAACTTTTTTTGATACTTTTCACCATGGAAAAATAAAATTCTGAAGTGCATATATATTTGGTCCTTATATATACGAAGAGTACGGAAGATTATACTTTGTTCTGGTTTAGCATATCTGATATATTTTGTTATAACTCAGATGTAATAAAGGCTCAAGGTTACAGACTTTAGTTGATCGACGGGCATCAAGTCGAAGATAATAAATTTTATTATAAAATTTTACTTCAATATGGCGTTTTAAATAGAAGACAGGCTCATTACACTGAGCGCTTGACTTGTCATTGCGACAAGGTGGGCGTTTATAAAAAGCTCTACATGAAGGGTACAAATTAACGAGTACTAGATGTTTTTATTCAAATTACTTGTGATACCAGCCTAAAAAAGTAAGGGTACTTTACAGATAATAGACCCTTGTTTTTCAGCATTGCATTGCACAAAAGTCATTAGTTATCTAATTGTAATCCAAAGTGTTCGCTGAGTTTCAGTAGTAACTTATTAGTACGTTATTTTCTGAAAAAAATAATTGGTAAAATTGTTTTTTATTGTTTTCGCACATCTAGTTTTTTTTTCAAAATTTATTCAAAACAAGTTTCTGAAACTATTTCCGAGTTTCTATAGGTTTCGGCATCTCATTGAAACGTTTCTTTCTAGTATTGCAGGTCATGCGTAATTCAATTTCTCTTAGGCAGGTAGTGTCAGCTTGAATTACCTCATGTCTGTTATCAAACCTTTTTAACACCTTTATTGCAAATAAACACATATATAAATTTTTAGTGTGTTAGTGGCCACTTTATGCTCTTGCCATTTAATAATCATTTGTTATTAACGGAGGGCTCCAAAATTTGCTTTGAACCAACTTACTTATGGAACTTTACAAATCCTATACACATACTTGTATTCTTCGCCTTTGTTAAATTTTTGATTTCGTCCAACAAATACATTTCCGTCTTGTGTTGATTGTTTCTCCCCTTTTCTTGCAACGTTTCTACCAGTATCGTTTACGTTACATGATGACACAGATTTGTTTCCGACAATAATTTTCATTTCTTCCTCGTTCATGCTGTAATATTTTATGGAATCGTATCAGACTTAGCATGTATTTGCCTCACGGAAACAGACAACATAGCACATAGAGTTTTGTTAATAGAAGATTCTGAAATATTTTCTGAAAATCCATCTATATTTTTAATGATTCATTAACTGTAATAATGTTGAAGATATGTGTACGACTTTCCACACGACACGTTTAACGCAAATAGTGTATATAATTTGGAAGTCTAATTGTGGTAGGTTCAAGATGCTTCGATGCAATATCTGTGCTGTATTTACACAACAAAACATAACATGAATTAGTCGAATTCGTGACATTCACACAATAGTAGAATGTTTTCCAACATGAGAAATGCAACAGGTGTAATAAAGGTTGAAAATGTACACAAAAGCTCAAATGATCAGAAGTTAAATTTGAACTTGAACTGAATGAATGAACTAAATTTGAATTTAAACTGAAGTTAAATTTGTAACTTTTTGTATTGAGTCTAGTTTGGAGTCAGATAGAAAGTAACATCAAGCTGGAAAAACAATTGTAAAATAAACATCTAGTGGTGCTCTAGAAGTATGCGTACCAATATGGAGGGAATTAATTTTATTCCCCTATTTTACATCAAGTTGTGTAAAAGGGAACGAAACCTATGGGCAGGGGGATATTAAGTTATCTAACACAGACAGTCCCCGAACCCGTAATAGAACTAAAATAGGGGAAAATGGAAATAAAATTATGGCCTAACCCTAACCTGGTACACATACTACGTAAGTACCCATCTAGCAATGAAGAGATATGATAACAAAATCCAACACCTACCTTGAGACTGGTATGGCCATTGCAATATATTCTCCGTTTTCTGAAGATTTGTTCGCTTCTTTTAAATTGTCCAATGAAACTTTAGCAGCAACCTCCGATCCAGTTTTCCCAACGATCACCAGCATGCAACTGTTCGAATTTATGGAAAGAAGTTAGCAAAAACTTTTTAATATTAAGGATTATCATAAACGTTTTCCTCAAGGTAGCCTGTGTTACTAATATAAATATAAAATTCATCTAAACTTTTGACATAAAAATTTATCAAAGATTTTTTTATTTATCAGTTCTCGATAAAGCCATAATTACTTGGGAATTTTCTTCCAGCACTATTTCTGTCAAGACCATATCAGTTTAAGGTCGAAGCTCAAAACATTGCTTCCTGCAATAATATATGTTTTTGTATACGAGCATTAACTTATTCCCAAATGCTTTATTCGAGTTGATTGTACCTTACGAGTCCGTTGGTTTCATTTGGTCGCAGCAAGGCCATTTCTTTGGTTCCGTTTTCATTTATAACGTTGTTTCCAATAAGGAGAGGAGATACTTTTTCAGGTGCTGTTAAAATATTAGATTGTTATCTCTCAGAGAGTGCTGGAAATATTGACAGTTATTGAATATAAGCAAAATAAAAAAGGGTTCAAGTAAGGTCCGGAGAGCGGCTACAGAGCGGCTTGACTGAAGTCTCAAAAATATTTTCGATTCGGTTCTATTGAAATGTTGAAAATTATAAAGCAATAACTCAAACTGGATCGTGCTAGTGCGAAGATAAATCAATACACACAAGGATAAATCTTATCTTGACTTTCGGTATAACGTTAGATTGACGCAAGAGGAAGTCTTAGTTTCAATGTGACTCATATTTATTCATTTTGTCCATGAAATATACAATGAGTCGGAAGCGACTTTAAAATCCGTTGTGACAAGAACAAGACTCAAGATTGCGACAAATTATGACTCGACACAAGCCTTGTGACTTGACTTAATAATATCAAAAGTGGCCAAAATATAATGTGATGCTGATTCTCTATACCAACTACCTGCTACAACGCAACCAATGTCAGGGTAAAGCCAAATATATATTTTCCCTTGTATATCATGATCACGTAACATGAAGGGTGACCCAAAAACAAAATCCGGGTTATTTGGAACATATTCTAGCTATAGAAACGCAACTTTTGTACAAAGCGTCCTGGATTACTGAAACGTTCGGGTACAATCATTCAAAAACAGAAGTTCAAGTTTTCAATAAATTATCTTCTCTTTCTAGAAGCGATTAAGAAAGATATGATTTCGATATTTCGGGGTCAGCCAGTAGTTACAATTGTCAGTGGTTATAATCTCATTAGCTTTATAATACTATCAATTATACCATTTGGCCTTCCAGTGCAACGCCCACTTGAATCGATTGCTTGACTCGCTCCGACACAATTGAATATTTTTATAGAAGCTGAATAGTTGCGATTTGGGTCTGGTTGAAAGGAATGCAGCGACGATGATGTTACATTGAACGTCTGTGTGTTTAACTGCTTATTGGAATCTCGGGATGTAGCCAAATACGAAGTTAAGTTAACTTCCTGTGAAGTGAAAGGAAAAATTGAGATGGAAAAGTAATGTGACTACTAAACTAATTTTTTGATATTTTCCAATTTAATTTCATTCACTCTATTGTCTCGAGTCGAGAGTCAGAGTCAATATCTCCATTGAAACAGGGAAGTATCTGCTATAAAGAAAGCATTCAAACGTGAGATTGAGGTATCCAAACAACCGATTAAAAAATTGTGTGCATCCGGAGAGCAAATTATCATCATCATAAAGTAATCTAACTTGGTTGGGGTTTAGTTTGTATACCAGACCATTCTATCTATTCTGAGATGCAATATAAATCAAATTGAGTCAGCGATATATACTTACAACGTTATACGGGCCACCAATCTTTGCACTGTTTGGAAATGTCCAATCGATGACACAAGTTTGATTCTCTTTGATCTGTGTAGTAGACGAAGACTCAGCAGACAACGTTGCTCCCCCTGTTGTTGCGCTTTCGGTGGCGGAATATTCGGGTGGACAATTATCTTTCGTTACACATGCAGTTATCTGAAAAATAAAATTAATATATAATGAAAAACTTGTATTAATATTATATTAAAAAGACGTAAATTGTAAGATGCTGAGAAAATTTTTGATGAAAAAGTTCTGACCTTTTGCCATAGGAATAACGGCGCTCCAGTAGTGTGTGTCCCAATATGGCAGTAATTAATTTTGTTCGCCTACTCTACATCAAGTTGTGTGACGGAACTGTTGGCAGGGGGTATATACACTTGGCTAACACAGACGGTCTCCTAACTCGTAATGAAAAAAAAGTCAAATCGGAATAAAATTATGAGCCAACCGTATCGTGGTACAAACACTACGGGAGTACCGTAATAACATACATTGACGAGCGTGTTGTATCAAAGCTGTTCTTATTTAAAGAGGAAACTGATTGCAAACAAAATAAATAGAATCAAATAAATCGTTATAATATATCCTTATTGTTTACTTTGATTGTATAGTCTGTGGTAGGCAACAAACTGGATATTAGGGTTGACTGATTCCCAGATGTTGGTGATTCCACCCATTTTGGTGATCCCCCTGGGAATGTAGTTACTTCGACCCTGTGAAACAATAGAGTGTACAATAAATTCAGTAAAGCCATTATATATTTGTAATTAGTGCACACATTAGCATTTGGTTGAAATTATTTTCATCAAGTCATAGCCGACATTGATATATTTGAAAAAAAGGTTTAGTCGCAACACATTAATTGCTAATGCCTAATGTAAAATAGAAAAGCTTTTGGTGAAATTCAGACTATTTGTTAACGAAGTGAACGAAACACGAAGCTGAGGTTAACGTCAATGCTACTGTAGCGCAAGATCTACCACACTATAACGTAATGTCAACCACGCTATGACATTAGATCTGCCTCAAACTAGCATTACAGCGTGAGGTCTACCTCACTATAGCCCAGTACTATAGCATGGGGTCTATCACGCTGTAGACAGGGCTGTGCAAACTTTAATACACGAGGGCCAGATACAAATAACTGGATAAGACCGCGGGCTGCACCTTCACCTAACATAGCTATTCTAGTAGTTCAGACCTAAAAATTTTGGTTATTGATCTTGTAACATGCGTTGTTCGCTTTGCACAAGCTCAAATATAGGCAATGCAACGCAATAGCATTGAAATTACTAGAACATACTAGATTAAAAACAAAAACTCGTTTCGCGGATCGCACACCATTCAAAAGTGGAGCTTCTTCGCGGGCCGCACAAGTTTTTCTTGAGGGCCGCATTTGATCCGCGGGCTGCAGGTTGCACGCCCCTGCTATAGGGCAAGATCTACCCAAAGCAGGTACTATAGCGCAAGATGTACCTCTGCATTCTCTATATCTAATGGATTTCAGTTATTTCTAAACATTTATTCAAAACATAAACACACTTAATTTACTGTCGACCCTTGTACAACACAGCCGAAGGACTAGTTAGTGTTGGCTGTCACTCACCTAATGGGCTCATAAGATAAACTTTCCATTCATTCAAACAATACATATATTGATTATAACACAATGATATATTTGTGAGAACTAGTTTTTACAAAATTTGACATCTTGTACGATCGTCTCGGGACTGATTGGGGGCGCAATACAGGGTGTAATAAATATGTTGCTTTATTCAGTATCGATAGCTTACCTAGAGCCACGTTTAAATGTTAAATGTGAAAACATCAGAGAAAAAACAAATTTTTGCTTAATTATTAATTATAGAGATAAACTCACTTGTGTGGAAATCCAACAGCATTTGTATGTGGTTGCCATGAGATGATCAAGTTCGAGTTGCAAGTGTTATTCGATATTGATGGATTGTGGGATTTCCAGCCACTGCAAAGCAAACAAAAAGTAGCAACATATCAAATACAAATCGTCATTGGAGGCGAAATATGAATATAAATCGCTTAGATAAATTTTCGCTGTTGTTGTTATTGTTATTAGAGTGATTGTGGTTGTTAGAAAAACATTGTTTTTCTCCGATACTATGGGACGAATCAATTACAAATTTGTAGTATCTGAAGTAGGTTAAAGTTGTTAGGAGACCATTACAGATTGACCCAAAAACCGGTAACCCATATATTTCTTGATTACTTCTAAAAAAACCGA